TGTGGGTGCTCTTTAAGAAGAGATTGGACAATTATTTATCTAAAATGGTATAGGACAGGAGTAAGCAACCTTGGCTCTTTTATGACTCATGGACTTCAACTCCCAGAATTCCTGAGCCAGCATGGCTCAGCTTGGAAACCTCTCCCTTTCCCCTCAGCATGGCTGGCCCAGGAATTCTGGGAGTTGAAGTCCACAAGTCATAAAAGAGCCAAGGTGGCCTACCCCTGGTATAGGATTTCCTGCTCGAGCAGAGGACTGGACTAGAAGACCTCCAAGGCCCCTTCCATCTCTGTTATTCTGAAGGGCAGCAGCTATGGGGTAGTCAGTAGTCTTCAAAGGCAGCCCCATGTAGAGCACATCGTAACAATTAAGATATGAGGTGATTAGGGCATGAGTGACTGAGAAATTAATCAAAGAGGGAAGCAACCTAGAACTAAAGAGAAATTTCCTGACAGCGAGAACAGTTAATCAGTGGAAGGAGTTGCCTTCAGAAGTTATGGGTGCTCCAACATTGGAAAATTTTAAGAAGAAATTGGACAACCATTTGTCTGAAACGGTATAGGGCAGTGATGGCGAAACTTTTAGAGACCGAGTGCCCAAACTGCAACCCAAAACCCACTTATGTATTGTCGGGTGCCAGGTGGGCGTGGCCTATTGGGTGGGCATGGCCAAGTGGGTGGGCGTGGCCCATTGGGTGGGCATGGCTGCAGTGGTTATGGCAGACTGGGTGGGACTAAAAAGTTCAATCAATCAAGTCTAACTTTGCGAGATCTTTTTTTTTCCCATGAGAAGTTGAAATTGATTGATTGATTAAACCTTTTTTTTGTTTGCACATGGCGGCAGAGGCCTAAAGTGAAAAGGTTTTATAAAACCTAGGTGAAGGCCTAGGACTGGGGCGATGGCACACATGCCCACAGAGAGGGCTCTGCGTGCCACCTGTTGCACACGTGCCATAGGTTCGCCACCACGGGTATAGGGTTTTCTACTTGAGCAGGGGGTTGGACTAGAAGACCACCAAGGCCCCTTCCAACTCTTTTATTCTGTTAGTAGGAAAATGGCCTAACGTTTCAGCACAGCCTTGCAGGACAAAGCATTATTCCAGGGAAGTTCTTGAGCGTTTATGGTGGGATTCCACGATCAGCCAAACCTATCAAGAGGCATGCAATCTGAAAGGCGCATCCGCTTGGGCCATTGCTAAGAGCCCAGAAATGCAACTTTCAGATTATGTGGTGTTGCCAAATTCCAAGATTGGATAAGAATCTTTGCATTTCTCTTGATTGAGCAGACTTTTATATAGCACTCATCAAGTCACCCCACTCCTATATTAAAAAAAAAATATTTTGAACATGACGCTACCAGCTGATTCGTAGAACCTAATTTTCCCCTTTGCCGTCAAACTGAAGTCTTCATGCAAAACACTTTCACATGTAATTTCCTCCCTCTGGTGCTGACACGTGCCTTGAATCCTGCAAACTGCAATGCCTAGAGCAGGGGTGTCAAACTGCTGGCCTGCGGACCGGACACGTCACTGGGAAACCGCGCCCACCCCATTGCCGGCAATGGGGGAAAAGCTCCGATACGGTGGACAACGTCACGTGACATCGTGAGTTTGACATGTCTGGGAATTGAAGTCCATACATCTTCAAGCAGCCAAAGTTGAGAAACATTACCCTATACCAGGGGTAGGCAACCTTGGCTCTTTTATGACTCGTGGTCCAACCCCCTATAGGGGACTCTATCTAATTTAAACCTCTAGGTCTTCAAACTTGGCCCTTTTATGACTTGTGGATTTCAACTCCCAGAATTCCTCAGCCAGCGTGCCTGGCTGAAGAATTCTGGGAGTTGAAGTCCACAAGTCATAAAAGGGCCAAATTTGAAGACCCCTGGCCTAGAGGTTTAAATTAAAAAACTGGAGGTTTTCAAGAAGAGGTTGGACAGCCATTTGTCCAGAATGGTATAGGGCAGGAGTAGGCAACCTTGGCTCTTTTATGACTCGTGGACTTCAACTCCCAGAATTCCTGAGCCAGCTATGCTATGCCTACCCCTGGTATAGGGTAATGTTTCTCAACCTTGGCTGCTTGAAGATGTGTGGACTTCAACTCCCAGAATTCCACAGCCAGCCAAGATTGAGAAACACTAGATAGAGTCCCCTATAGGGGGTTGGACTATAAGACCTCCAAGGCCCCTTCAAACTCTATTGTTCTGTATTCTTCAAGCAGGATGACAGCCTCTGAAGCTTTAAATTGGACCAGGCTGATTTCATTGTTATGGCTATGGCAACTCATGATATTGTTCGGATGGCTGCAATGCTTTTTCCCCCCTGAAATATGACCAGAAACTTTCAAAAGACAACATATTCTCCTTGGCAGTCATTCCCTTTGCAAGTACCTCAATGTTGGGGGGAGGGGGGACATTATCTGGGGTGCATTAAATATTGGGGTGGGGTGGGATGGGGTGGGGAAGAAACTCTGTATTCTAATCCAGAGCCCAGCGTAAGAAAATGCCCGAATGCATTCTACACAAGTGTAAAACACTGAAATGCAGCATTAGACAGAACTCTCAGCATTGGATGCAAAACCTCTGGAGGGGACAAAGCTGCCTTGTTGATGCCACATCCCATAATTGCCTTCATGAAAGCCCTTTCCTTGTCCCCTTTTTTTTGAGTTTCAAGCTACTTATTTGCTTCCGGTTAGCATCCAAAACACCCTGTAGACAAAAAGATTACACGTAACCTAAAGCGAGTTACACCTTCCGCTGTTGGTGCAAAAGTGTAACCTTTGGCTCAGATTCAGGAATTGCACTTTCTTCATCGTTGCTCAGCTTCCTCTTTTTGGCCCTGCCCTGTTTCTGATTGTCTTGAAATCACAGCCACGTTAAGTAGATCAAGCCACGGAAAGCTGGCCGAGCAGCTGATCCAAACTGGCGAAGGAGCACAAGGCATTCCGCCCAACAGAGCATCATCTTGAGGATCCTTGGTGATCCGAGTTTCAAGAATCCAGCACTCCCGCCCCGAGGCTGCGGGTGTATAACGATCTGTTGTTGTCCATCTAATTTAGGCTAATTTCGACGTTCAGAAATGCAGTGCAAAAAGAAAAAAAAAAAAAGCATACAATGGGTGTGTTTTGTCGAATTACTAAGGTAACTCGGACATCTTTGAAGTTTAACTTATTTTGAAATTTACTAGCTCGGCAAGACTTCTTTTTTTTTTTAATTTTCTTTTAATCTATTTCACGTTGACAAAATATTGAATTGTGAAATCCGGAGTTTTGGGAAAAGGCAATTTGGTCCAGCATCTGCAGGTAAACAGAGAAGATTGAGCCCTGAGGAGACATTTCCTGGTCTACTCAGCTTCCAGCTTTCTGTCCAGCTGTTAAGCTTCTGTTCAGCTCCCCCACCTTCATATCTGAGTTTGTGGATGCAGAGCTGTGAGTATCGCTGTAGACATCTGGAAAGGGAATACACCAACAATATCAATAATACTGATTTAATTTTTAAAGATACCTATGTGGAAGCTGTCCCTGGTGTCAATTTTCTGCCAGAGATTCCTTCTAGGTAATAAATCACCAAAACACAATCTTGAAACTCTTCTTCAACTGAGAGATGCTCACAAAACAGGTAGTCCTTGACTTAACAACCACAATTGAGCTCAAAAATTATGTTGCTAAGTGAGACAGTTGTTAAGTGGGCTTTGCCCCATTTTATGACCTTTCTTGTCAAATTGGTTAAGTGAATCACTGCGGCTGTTAAGTTGGTAACACAGCTGTTTAGTGAATCTGGCTTCCCCATTGATTTTGTAGAAGGTCACTAAAGGGGATCACATGATCCCAGGACACTGCAATAGTCATAAATATGAACTTGATGCCAAGGATCTGAATTTTGATCACATGGCCATGGGCTTGCTGCAAAGGTCACAAGGCTGGGAAACGGTCATAAGTCACTTTTTTCAGTGCTGTTCGTTTCACTAAATGAATGGTTGTAAGTCAAGGACTATCTGTATAAAGTTGCATTTTTCATTAATATTCCATCACATTGCCTCTTTCTTCCCTCCCATTCTTATCTCACCTGCAACGTAAGAGTTCTGCACCCTCCTTTCTTAAATCCTTACATGTTCTTCATGATTAGTAAAGGTCTACCAACATAATTTACTTCTCCAAAAAGCTGAAGGACATTTTAGGTCTATTAACTTGGAAGGTAGAATTTGAAAACAATAGATTATTGAGTGAAGATGGCCAGACAGGTTAAAATTTTGGATTTGGCTTCAAAAAGCAATTTTGTTGAGAGGACCTGGATGAGGATGAATGAGGAAAGCTCTGTGGCTTACTGATGTTGCTACTAGTTTGTTAATTTGAGGTGCCTATCTGTATCCCCTCAGTTTGGGGATAATAAGCACATTAATATGATAAGAATAGTCCAGTCACCAATGTTCTGTCTTCCCCAAGAAACAATATGCCAGAATTCTTTACTACATAGGAAGTCGAGTGCGCACAATTAAATAAGAAATATAAAACTTTTCAAACTTTCCTATGGGTTACCTGAATTGCTGATTCTACAAGTGCTGTTGGCTTCAGCTTCTGCTGGTTGTAACAGACTGGAAGGTATCCAGTCTGTTTTTTCCGAAACTAGCTTCTTTACTAACCTGAGGTTAGAGAGAAAAAAAATTAATTTCCTTTTTTTTCACACGTCACCCACTGCTGGTACTGTATAGCATGCAATCTTTCTGAGTTAATATAGGATTATAAAGTTAGTCCACATAAACATACTTGTTGCAGAAAGCAATCAGAGGTTGGGAAATGTTCAGAGACACGTCCAAAATTAATGATAAATTCATCTAATATCATTAAAGAATTTTTTTCTTCCAGATAAAATAATCATTCCTTCCTGCCTTCTCTTTCAATTTGTGTTTTTTTTCCAAGATTCAGCCAAGAACCCAGAGGAAAGTATTTTTTCCCCCCTTTAATTATGATTTAAAAATTCTACGAGCAGGTGTATCATTTACTTACCATTGCCCATTCTCTCCTTCTTGAATAAACTCCACTAGATCTCCCTCCTCTAAAGTGAGGGAGTCTTCGAAGCAGGTGTCAAAACTTCCTTCTACCCGGTATAGATTTGATCCCTAAAAACAAATAAAACCAAACCACAGATAATTATTCCCAAAAGTAGCCAGTGGTGTTTTATTGATGCATTGCAAATGTTCATTAATATAAGTCATCCTAGAAAAATAGAAGGGAGGTATAAAATATTATAAATATAAATGATTTATATTCTACAATATTTGGTACAGCAATGAACAGAATAGTTGGAAGGGACCTTGGAGGTCATCTAGTCCAACCCCCTGCTCAGGCAGGAAACCCTATACCATTTCGGACAAATGGCTGTCCAGTCTCTTCTTAAAAACTTCCAGTGTTGGAACATTCATAACTTCTGGAGGCAGGTTGTTCCACTGATTAATTGTTCTAACTGTCAGCAAACTTCTTCTTAGTTCGAGGTTGGTTCTCTTCTTAATTAATTTCCATTCATTACTTCTTGTCCTGCCCTCAGGTACTTTGGAGAATAGCACCTATGACTATATTTTAATCTCTGCAATGATATGTGAGAACAACCTTGGAGACTGGAAGAAGAGCCACAGACTAGACAATGGTCAGATCAGAGGTATAAAGTTAACACTGATATTTCTAAGTGTGTTTTTGCCTGGAGTCTCAAGGCTGACGCTCTGACGTTCTTAATGTTCTGTATTTAGGGCTGAGGCTGACGCTCATTTCATTTTAAAAGCAAGTTTATTGCACATATTCTTCTAGACCAGGGGGCTCCAAACTTGGCAACTATTAAGACTTGTGGACTTCAACTGCCCACTGCTGGCTGAGGAATTCTGGGAGTTGAAGTCCACAAGCTGCCAAGTTGGGAGACCCCTGTTTTAGACTACCACACTTTCTTACAAGGGTATTTCATTGAGCCATGCAAGACTCAGCTCACTGGCCTGAGAAAAAGCAACTAGCGATTGAAATAGATGAACTCTTTGCCAACCAGTTAACAAATGTATGCAGGAAGCATACCACAGTAGTAACGGGAGACTTCAACTGTCCAGATATCAACTGGGAGACAAACTCTGCAGCGAGCGGGAGATCAAACAGATTTCTAATCAACCTAGCCAACAACTTTGTCACCCAAAAGGTGGAGGAGGGAACTAGACGTAAAGCCATACTGACTTAATTCTAACTAACAGAGAAGAAGTGATAGAAGGATTTGAAGTTGTCGGAACCTTGGGCGAAAGTGACCACGTCATACTGGAATTTAATATAATGCAAACACTAGCAACAGAAAACAATCCAACCAGGGTCCTAAACTTCAAAAGAGCCGACTTTAACAAACTCAAGAGAGAACCTAGGAAAGATCCCATGGATGAAAATCCTAAAGGGGAAAACAACCCAAGAAGCGTGGGAAACTCTGAAAAATGCAATCATAAAAACCCAGACCAGCACAATACCACTGAAAAAGAAAAACAAGAAATTCAAGAAATATTCTGAGAAATTCTGGGAGTTGAAGTCCCCAAGTCTTAAAGTTGCCAAGTTTGAAGACCCCTGGTCTAGATCTTGCGCGAAAGTCAGAAGGATGTTACCTACATTAGAAGGGTGGCTGTCTTCCTCCAGGTCTGAAGAGTTTGAGAGGTCCTCAGTGCTGGATGGAATGGCTTCGAAATCTTCAAATGTATCTAGCGATGGCATCTGTCTGCTAGGCCAACCTTCATTAAAAAAACAAAACACAACAGTTGGCATTGTCTCCTGTTGTGTTTTAGATAAGATAGAAGGAGTCTTGTAAAAATAACAATAATTGCAGCCCCAAATTCAATTCCCCAAATCAGTATTGCATGCCTTGTGTTGCTCAGAGCTTCCTGGATTGCTGCTGGGGTTTCTGTGCTGCTCAGCCTTAGCGTCTAAGTCTGGCTACATTCCTGTTTTTATTTCTTCCGTTCTTGATGAACGAGATTAGCCAACTTTCTCCTCTGACTCTAGGGGTGCTTAATAATATGCATTCATTTATAAAAGTGATTTGATTCTTTCTTTACTGAAATAATTCCTAGGGTTGCCCATGTCACAGCAGTGACTCTGGGTGATGCACAAGGCTTAAAACCCAACAATTAAAAAATGAGAGCTTCTGTCCATGCAAATCAGGAAGGGATGAATCCAGAGGATAAGGTATTCTCTATCATAAAAGGAAGTGAAATGTCTTTCCCAGGGGGACATTTTTTTTTGCTTTTCACCTGTTTTTAAATAATTGATTGACTGACTTAATTTCTAACCTGGTTCTTCCACAACCAAGGTGGGTTTATTTATTTATTAGATTTTTTAAAAAAATCCTGCCTTTATTATTTTATAAGTAACTTAAAGTATAATGTATGATACTTGTTCCTCCTCCTATTTTCCCCATTGGGCTGAGAGAAAGTGACTGGCCTAAAGTCACCCTGCTGGCTTTCATGTCCAAGGCGGGGCTAGAACTCCCAGTCTCCTAATGATTGGTCCAAAGTCACCCAGTTGGCTTACATGCCAAAGGCAGGACTAGAACTCCCAGTCTCCTGGTGATTGGCCCAAAGTCACCCAGCTGGCTTACATGCCAAAGGCGGGACTAGAACTCCCAGTCTCCTGGTGATTGGCCCAAAGTCACCCAGCTGGCTTACATGCCAAAGGCGGGACTAGAACTCCCAGTCTCCTGGTGATTGGCCCAAAGTCACCCAGCTGGCTTACATGCCAAAGGCGGGACTAGAACTCCCAGTCTTCTGGTGATTGGCCCAAAGTCACCCAGCTGGCTTACATGCCAAAGGCGGGATTAGAACTCTCAGTCTCCTGGTGATTGTCCCCAAATCACCCAGCTGGGTTTCATGCCTAAGGTAGGACTAGAACTCAGTCTCCTGGTTTCTAGGCCAGCACCTTAACCACCATACACGACAAAATATCAACCCAATCTTAATATAATTCAAATAAGAATTCAATTATAACACTGAGATAAGAGAAATTAGTATCTCAGCGGAAGATCTGGTTGTTGTTGTTGTTTTGCGATCTTTCCAAACAATGGGTGGAGAGGATTAGGAAGTGTGTATCCTACACCCTAGGAGCCCTGCAAAAGAAGGCCTGTTTGTTGACATGGTATGCTGTGTGTTGATTGCCAGTAACCAACATTTTGAATCACTGCATTCTTAGTCTGCACACTCATTTGCACAAAAGCACCAGAAGTGACGATGTCTTACTCAAGGCTTACTTGTGGAATCAGAGGAGCACAAAATAATATCAGTTTCGTGGGAGGAAAGCTATGACTCATTTGCACTTACAAAAAATTCAAACTGCCTATCGCCAGAGTAATATTAATAATAATAATAAAGTTGGAAGGGACCTTGGAGGTCATCGAGTCCAACCCCCTGCTCAGGCAGGAAACCCTATACCATTTCAGACAAATGGCTGTCCAGTCTCTTCTTAAAAACTTCCAGTGTTGGAGCATTCACCACTTCTGGAGGCAGGTTGTTCCACTGGTTAATTGTTCTAACTGTCAGGAAGTTTCTCCTTAGTTCTTAGTTGCTTCTCTCCTTGATCAGTTTCCATCCGTTGCTTCTCGTCCTGCCTTCAGGCACTATTTCTAGATTGATTTAGCAGCTATTTTGGTGAACGATACAAATCCTTTTCCTCACAGATTATGTAGGTGGCAGATTAAGTTTATTCATGTGTCAAGGAAATGGAAAGAAGCCAACTGAATCTTTCTCTTGATAAAGATGTCAAAAAACATTAAAATGCAAATCAGTGGAGAACTTTGGAGACAATTCCTATTGGCAGAAGGCCTTGAGGTGACAAAATGCGTCCCAGTTTATTAAAAGGGAACAGACTCTGTTCATTTTCCGCCAATGATAAATTCACTTTTTTTAAACAACCCATTGAAATATATTCTATATAAACCTTCCCACAATTTACATCACATTTTAATTACCCGTCTGATTTCTAGCCACCCAGTTATAAGATTATCTGAACTAAAAACTGAAAGACAAGAAAGACGAACACAAGAAAAGGAGAGATGCAGAACAAAATTATAGCAAGGTAAATATCATAATAGCCTCTTCACTTTAAAAATAATAGAGAACGTAGAGATCTTATATAGTGCTAATTTGTTGCTTTTGTTTAGAAGATTGTTGTTGTTGTTTTAAAAAAAAAACAGCGCCAGTCCATCAAAGTTAGACAGTTGATTTGTCAGCCAGCTTCTAAAACAGGTGACATATAATATTTAGGAATTTTTGGAAGAGGAGATGATTTAAAAGTGGAATTGTGTCCCATCCTGTATTGGCTCAGTCAGGCAGTTAAACACACCTGGAGAACATCACCTTATTGAAGGGCATTGTGTCTGAATCAAAATAGGTACTTCTGAAAGTCATAATCGTGACAAAACATAAAGGTGTCCCCCTGTGGGTTTTATTCCACTAGTTGTAGCCAACTTTAGGGGGCAGTTCTCATCTCTGTTTCTTTAAGCCATTGAGCCAGCACTGTTCAGACATTTCCGCAGTCATGTGGCTAGCACAAAGCATACGGTGAAACACGGAATATTGTTATCTTCCCACCGAAGTGGTACCTATTTATCTACTTCCATTTACATGCTTTCAAGGTTGGCAGAAACTCAGGTTGGCAGAAACTCAGGCAAGTGATGGGAGCTCACTCTGGCTCATGGTGGTAGGACTTGAACCAACGGCGTCTTTTAATCATGACAGCATAATGAGAATATCAGCAATGCATGAGGTGTATTCTGAAAATGACAACCTCTGCTTGAACTTTCTTGGGTGTAGCCAGTTGTTAATATTTGGATGGGAGACCTCAGAGGACCCCCAGAGGCTGTGAGCAACACTGGGAAGTTAGAAAAAAAACATTCCAGAAGAAGACAATAGCAAACTATTTCAACAGCGTTGTCAAGAAAACTGCATGGAGTTCATGAAGTCACCAGGAACCAACTGGACTCATGAAGCAACGCAGATAAATCAACACTCTGAAGAGTTTATGATTTTCAAAGTGGGGAGAGGAAAAAAAAGGAAGGATAAATAGAATACAACTGAAGTCGATGGTAGAAAAAAGAGTTTAGGTGGTCAATAGGAAATAAAAATGATTTTCATGCTTTAATCAATCTGGAGGCTTCTGGCACAAACCCCAGTCAAGTGCTGAGAGCACATCTAAGAAACTAAGGCTTCTTCTTGTGTAAACGAGTTCCATTCCATTTTCATGGGGCTAACCCAGATAAATTTCCTCCGTACCAGATCTTCCCCCCCCCCAAAGATGTTCTTAATAGCATGCACATCTGATCTTAAAAAGAATACTCTGATTTCTTTTTACCTGTCTGTGAAGCTGATCTGGGTACCATTCTTGTAGAGGAAACAGTGTTGGAGTTAGCTTGAGCCAAGAAGGTGCTTTCAAAGGCATCTGGGATAGGAAGCAGAGTATTCTATAATTTTAAAAATGCTGGTTGGCATCCATCTTAAAAGATGAAATGGTGAGCATGCAAGCCTTCCTTGACAAATTTCAAAGGTCGTGTTAAGGAAAAGAGGCATCTTTAGGACTACTTACTCCTCTTGTCTGGAAATGGTGCCATGGCTAAGTCAAGCTATGGAAAGGCCAGGCGTCGCAAAAAATCTAGACTCAGGGACAGACTTGAGAAAGGGACCTGACATTTTCATGGATAACTTGAGGTGTCACCAACAGAACTTTCCTACCACTAGAGGGAGTAGTGATATTAAAACTCTCCTGCGCCGAAAGTAATTTTATATCCACGCTCTTCCACGCTAAGTGAATGCTGTACTTTTACATTTTTGGCTTTAAAAGAGAATATAAAGCATGTCAGAGGTTAGTTGTCAATGCTATTTGGACGTGGAAAGCATGCAGTCCAAAAGTCACAATGGGGCACTGTTCAGAATCAATCAGGCGAACCTCTATATCAGTGGTGGCGAACCTATGGCACGCGTGCCAGAGGCGGCACTCAGAGCCCTCTCTGTGGGCATGCGCACCATGCCCTGGAGATGGCAACTGTCCCTCTTCAACTAGCTGCCTGCTAACTCGCCAAGGTCCCACGTGGCTGGATGCATCCCAGCACCCATGCGCTCACTGGCCTCTGTGTGCAGGGGCCAATGGTGTCAGGCAGCAGCCGCCCCGGCCCCTGCCTCACCTTGTCCTGTGACAATGGCACCCCCGCCCTGCCTCATCTCTCCCTGCAGGACGACCCTCCTGCCCACCGCCCCACCTGCCAGAGACCCCCTGGATCTCCCCCAACCCTGCCCGGTCCCCACAGGCGTCCCTCCCCTACGAGCAACATTGAGGTGATCACGCCCACCTTTGCCACACCCACCCAATCTGCCATGACCACCACAGCCACGCCCATCCAGTGGGCCACGCTCACCGGGCACCCGGCGATAAATAAGTGGATTTGGGGTTGCAGTTTGGGCAATCGGTCTCTAAACAGTTCGCCATCACTGCTCTATATCCACTCAGAATTGTTTCCTTTTTATATCTGATGATATGTAATCAAAAGACTGCCAAGACACGTAGCCTGATTACTGACTAGCAAATTAAACAAGATTAGCATTAATCAAGCACAGCACAGGTAAAAAGGTTGGCCCTACTCAAATCAGACAGGGGAAGCACGCGGTCAAAATCACCAGGAGTTAGCAATCTCAAAGACAAATGAGGACAGAGTTGCATTCATTCAAATATGACGGACGGAGAAGATTAGGAATAGATAAAAGTAGAATGAATTGAACCACGAACAAAAGTAGATTTTGTTTTAGGCTAAGGCTGCCTTTGATCATGTCATTTCAGGGTTTCATGTCAAAACAATGAGAGGTATGGAGACCGCACAAGAAGAAATGTGATTGATTGCTTTTTAAAAAAAACAAACGCATAAATTTAACTAATTGATATGCTCACTTCCCTTCTTCAAGGGAAAAACAAAGAAAGTCCAATTGCCTCATAATAATAGTAATAAACAACAACAATAATAATAAAAAGTTGGAAGGGACCTTGGAGATCTTCTAGTCCAACCCCCTGCTCAAGCAGGAAACTCTATACCAGGGGTGTCAAACTCAATTTCACTGAGCATTGTGGTTGCCCTGGGGGGGGGCTGGGTGGGTGTGGCCAGAGTGGGTGCAACCTACTGGGTGGGCGTGGATGGAGTGGGCGTGGCATGCTGGGTGGGCGTGGCCAGTTCTACATCATTCACGTCAAGGGTGCCTATGGGGGGCCTGGGCAGGAGTGGGACAGATCTGAGGGTCTCTGGCAGAAGGGGGTGGGACCGGAGCAAGTGCCAAGGCATGGTCCACTGGGGCAAGTGCCAAGATGGCCACCACAAAATTGTACATTGGCTCCTGGCTGGCCTAGGCCAGGGCCAAGGCAGAGGGGGCCGTTCCCTCACTGTTTCCAGGATGGCTTCGCGGGCCACATGAAACCACTTCGCGGGCCGCATCCGGCCCCCGGGCCTTGTGTTTGACATGTCTGCTCTGTACCATTTCAGACAAATGGTTGTCCAGTCTCTTCTTAAAAACTTCCAGTGTTGGAGCATTCATAACTTCTGGAGGCAGGTTGTTCCACTGGTTAATTGTTCTAACTGTCAGGAAGTTTCTCCTCAGTTCTAGGTTGCTTCTCTCCTTGATTATTTTCCACCCGTTGCTTCTTGTCCAGGCGCTTTGGAAAATAGCTTGACTCCCTCTTCTTTGTGGCAGCCCCTGAGATATTGGAAGACTGCTATCCTGTCCCCCCTCGTCCTTCTCTTCGTTAAACTAGACATACCCAATTCCAGCAACCGTTCCTTATATGCTTTAGCCTCCAGTCCCCTGATCATCTTTGTTGCTCTTCTCTGCACTCTTGAGAAAGCACCTTTGAGTCTTCAGCGATAGATACAACAGGTAAAACACCTCAACTGACAACCAGCAAATCTCACCCAATATGGTGTTTCAGAGAATGGTTTGAAATGTTAGTGGTGATGTGAGAAAGGACAATCTACAAGTCAACAGCATGCATGCATGGACCCAGGAGCTGTACCTTCAAAACCCAGAGGAGTTGGATCACTTTTGATTTCGTGCCTCTTGACTCTAACCGCAGGAACAAGGGGACCTGTGTGAAGTTTGCAGAGAGACAGAATGGAAATACGGTTAGATGCCAGAGCTGCTCACTTGGCATGGCAAAGGGTTTAGCAGTCGATGGAAGAAATATACAGTATTGTGAGAGCAGCAACAAACTACTCAATGGCTTGTTTTTTATAAATTATTTCTGCTTATCAAAAGAACTATAGGATTCCTACCAAGAGACTTGTGCCCAGATCTCTAGATCTCATCTCTTAATGTTTTAAGAATTATTACATTTCGTGCCCATATACTGTATATGAGTTTCTGTTTGCATGAAACTTTAACCAACTAACAGTAAAACTCTGTCCCTATATTCTCTTTGACGGTAGACAATTGAAAATAAAGATGGGTAGGACAACAGGGCCTCTAATATTATGTTGACTATAAGAACACATTTTGTATTGACAAATATTACATTTCCCCTTAGTTGTTTTTTTCCCCCCCTTAGCCATTAAAGCAGGGGTCTTCAAACTGGGCCCTTTTATGACTTGTGGACTTCAACTCCCAGAATTCCTCAGCCAGCGTGCCTGGCTGAGGAATTCTGGGAGTTGAAGTCCACAAGTCATAAAAGGGCCAAGTTTGAGGACCCCTGCGTTAAAGTTTGTTCACTTACATAATATATTGCATTACCATGTTTCTAATCAGATATAACCTAGGATGGCAAAGATGTCCTTGAGTCAAACTCAGCTCTTGGTTAACTGCATCCATCTCACACCTGGTAATTTCATGCAATTATCTCAGCAACTCTTCTGAAAAAAAAACCTGGGTGGGCGTGGCCGGATGGTCACAGCCGACTGGATGGGCGGGGCAGGGGTGGGCATGGCCAGCTTGACATTGCTTGTGTTGGGGGGCACCTGGGGGCCCCGGGGGGGGAGATCCAGGGTTCTCTGGTGAAGGGAGTCGTGACCAGGATGGTGCTGGGGTCTGATCCACTGGAGGAGCTTTCCCAACCCTCTCGGGCCATGCGGGGAGCCCTGGACAGCAGCAGGTGTCCTGCTCGGCCCTTGAGCTCCCCGGGCGCTCGCTGGAAGACGAGGTTGGACAACGGGGGCTGAGCGCGCAAGGGGCTGCGGTGTGGCAGAGACAGGCTGGGCTGCATCGCCACAGCCCCATCTATCTTTGCTACCGTGGCTGGGACGGGGAAGGCGGTCGCACAGCCGCCCGGTGCATCTGGCAGGCTGGATCGCGTGCCTCCCCCCCACGCCTCTGCCTCCACCTGCTGCTTGGAGGGCCGGCCCAGTGGTCGCGGTGCTCGGACCCACCTGTGGTGCGCGGGCTGCTGAGTCCTGCGGGTCTTGTGTTTGACATGTCTGTTCTAGGATGTGTTTTTTTATTTCTCAGTCTAGATAACAGCTCTGGTATTTTCTGGAACTTTACCATCCAAGGGTTAACCAGGCTGACCCCACTTAAAACTTCAGAGACCCACTAAACTCAGTTAAACATTGATAACAGGCTGAATATCATGATAGAAGCTGAATCATAGGTTTCCAGGAGAAACTAATATTTTGGAAATCCAAAGGTTTTCCATACAGTATTACAAAGTTGGATCTTGGCTTCATTGCCTTTCT